TCGTGGGTGCTCCATCACTGGAGGCTTTCAAGAAGAGACTGGACAGCCACTTGTCTGGAATGATATAGCATCTCCTGCTTGAGCAGAGGGTTGGACTAGAAGACCTTCAAGGTCCCTTTCAGCTGTTATTCTGTGTGCTATTGAGTAACTTTTCTTCAACAAGCTAGTGAATGTAGCCTGGCAATGTTTCCATAATAGAGGGAAAGGCATCCAAAGAATACCTCTTGCAAATTTGCTCACTCTTTACATTTATAATTCTGTTCTTTTGTATATATTTGATCCAGATTACACCAGCTTGACAAGCATTGCCAGTCTTCTGCCCAGCAGCTTGTGGAGTTACTCAACAAACAGAATGAGTTATACAAGGAGCGGCAAATACTTACAGAAGAGGTGGATTTTCTGCGGACTCAGGTACCCCTAAAAACCAGGAAAAATGTTCATGACTTTAGTTCATGCAGACCAATTTTTCCTCCTTTTTTCTTTTCAGTTTATTGATACAGCATGGTTGATGGGCATTCTCATTTCTCATGGAATCAGAATTTTTAATGCTCTCCACCTTTTCTTTTTTTCTTTTCTTTTTCTTTTCCTTATGGAACTATTATAGAGTTGCTGATTTCATTTCTCTTGTTTCTTCGCCCCATTTTGAGTTTATTTCTATTAACATTCAGCATCTATTTGTTTTTGCAGCAGGTGATTATGCCTGGTCATTAATACATCATTCTGTTTCTATTGGCTGTGCTAAAGCGGTAAAACATGGGTTGAGGAATATTCATTGCCATTCACAGTAGTAGTCTATAAAGATGAAGAGAACCATTTCACAAAAGTGCTTTGTTTTAAACTTTAAACAAAAATTTCCTGATTTGATACAATTGTCCATTCTTTGATAAATCTCATAAAATTGTATTCTAGCACAAATCTGTTGCCTCTTTTGAAGGGAAAAGAGAAATCATGGAAACCTTTTTTTTTACAACGTATTATTGTAAAATATAATTCTGACCTGTCAGTTACACAATCGATACAAGCAAAAAGATTTAAAACCTATTTATGGGATATTCATTCATTGTCAACTATTTTTTTTAAAAAAAAATAGAGAAACACAGAAAAATCATGTAAGGACGCAGATCCCTACAAGTGTTAAAAGTCCATCTTTTGTTTTTCTTTCAGTTATCCTCTGCCCCACAGCCATAGTTGAAAACACTTCGGGGAAGACATCAGAAAAGGAAAATGCCAATCAACTTTTTTCAGCATAAAGACCTGATGTGCTTAGATCGTTAAGCATTTATCAATATGTCTTCCCTTGCTGGGAAAGTCATCCCTTCTGTCTTGGATTGTCAAATATTCAGATCCAATATCTTTAGATACTCAATAATTTGTTTGTCCTCTCTAATGAATTATTTCTACTTTTAGATGATTGACACTTATGGGTTGTTGTTTTTTTTTGATGGAACTTGAAACATGCATAGAAGTTATACTGGATCAAAACCAGCTTTAAATGCAGTATTATTCCCCACCCCCAAGTACTCATTTTTACATATTTTTATCAGATATTTGACCCCAATGTTATATACACATCACTTCTGAATTAAGATATAGTATTATTGCCCCATGAGTGAGGAACAGTTCCCCCAATAAGGTTGAAATCTGTTCTGTCTTTGCAAGATGAGAAGTTTCTCTTCCTACAGCTCTGGAGCTTAGTATTGTTGTATAGTCTGCAGTATTAACCAATGATTGTTTTTATGTCTAAAAGATCATAAATGCATCTCCCCTGATTGGACTGTAGTGTTGTTTGCACTAAGCGTGGGTGCGTGAAAACTTAAGTAAACGATCTTAGATATTAGTTTAAAACAACAGCAGCAGGTCAGATAAATATAAATGACATTCTCAGTGGCTTTATAAATAGTTTGATGATCATTGATTTTTCTTCTCTTCAGATAAATGGGTATAATAATATATAATATAGACAAAACTCTTCTATTGAGGCTGTTATTCCTACATATATTACAGTGATGGCGAACCTTTTAGAGACCGAGTGCCCAAACTGCAACCCAAAACCCACTTATGTCTCGTTGGGTGGCGGGTGGATGTGGCCCATTGGCTGGGTGTGGCTGCGGTGGTAACGGCAGACTGGGTAGGACTAAAAAGTTTAATCAATCAGTTCCAACTTTGCAAGATCTTTTTTTTCCCTGCGAGAAGTTGAAATTGATTGAACCTTTTTTTTTTTGGCACACAGCAGTGGAGGCCTAAAGCGAAAAGGTTTTATAAAACCCAGCTGAAAGCCTAGGACTGGGGCAACGGCGCGGGTGCCCATAGAGAGGGCTCTGAGTGCCGCCTCTGGCACCTATGCCATAGGTTTGCCACCACTGATATATCATATTCTCCTTAGAACTCAACATGATGGTAGCAAACCTTTATGTTTAATAAGTGTCAATCTAAGCAAACATTATATATTAAGGTTGGGCTGAATTGAAAGAAAAAAAAATATGGCAGTGGAAGTGGCTGATTTTTTTAGTCCCCGTCTGTGGCTTTACCATCTACCTAGGACTCACATCTGTAAATATAGTCTTAAAGTATGGATTTGTCCTATCGCCATAAAGCCAACATCTTTGCTGTAAATGTTCTTCAACAGTTATAAGGTACAAAAGAGCTGTCCTGTCCTCAGACACCACTCCTCTTCTTGATTTGACTTTTTTGTGCTGCATGTTGGAAAGGCATGTGGAACTGCCAGCATCTCTGACTAGATTTCCTGCATGTTCCATCTTTTGGAGAAATTTTGACAGAAATAATATTTTACCTCTCCAGCGTTAGTACCCTGGACCCTCCGCCATCTCCCCAGCAAGTGGAACATGTTCCCCAGCCTGGCTTCATAACTGGTGGGGAAGGAAGGTAGGTTGTTAATATTCTCAGATTCTGGAAAGAGAGAGTTGATTGAAAAATAGGGCAAGTTCAGAACATCTGCACATTCTTTGTTATCTGGGAGAAAGGGAGCTGTCTGTTGTTCATCAAATAGTTATTACAGTATGAAGAGAATGAAGACAACTTCAGCCTAGCAAGCCCAGAGCTAAATTGGGCTCTAAAATTTAGTAATCTACTTCCTTATTTAATAACTTTTGTGAGGTTCTTGTATTTGACTGCCAGTAATGTATCAGAGTCAGAGAGAACCAATTCCATTGCCTCTGGGGTCTCTCTGGAGAACTTTAGCTGCCATAAAGGAGGAAACCTGGTCAATTTCACCCTCCCCTTCCCACTATTTTGTGTTCCACAGCATGAAGCAGACTGATATTCAGGTTGTCCACCCAGGGCAGCATCCTCTCTTTAGGTCAACTGGTTATTCTTAACAATTTAAAAAACAAAACCTGGAGAATCAGGTTTCCAAGCTCTCACAAAAGAAGCTATAGCTATAGGAGGCCAACAACCAGAAATGGATGATCCCACAGAAAGAAGCAATTGGGAGTCAAATAAGTCACACCCTTCCCCCACTCACCTGCAAAGACCACATTACCTCCACCTTCCTCCTCTGTGCAAAGTAGAATGTCTAAACGGAAGAGCTGTGGCGGCACAGTGGTTACAATGGAGTACAGCAGGCTCACTGCTGACTCCAGGAGTTCGATTCTGAGCGTCTCAAGGTTGACTCAGCCTTCCATCCTTCTGAGGTCGGTAAAATGAAAACCCAGATTGTTGGGGGCAATATGCTGACTCTGTAAATCACTTAAGAGAGGTCTGTAAAGCACTGTGAAGTGGTATACAAGTCTTATTGCTATTGCTAGAATGTTTTCCATTTCCTTGTGTAAAATATCCTTTTCTGCTGGTTCACATTGTTCCAGGCAGTGGCAACAAGATGGAGACTCTTGTGAAAGCATGTCAACAAATGGTAAATCAGGGCAAGGAAGCTGTGGAGCTGAGCCTCTTAGCATTTCTGCTGGATAAGCAAAAAGCTATTTTTTTAAGTTGGAGAAAAAAGAAGCACAATGTGGCAGAGCGGGAAACTGTTTTGTTGTAGGAAACTAACAGGAATGTTCTTTTATCCTGCAGAGATGATGCAGAAATATTAAAGCAAGGCTATAGTTGAACATTTGGTCCATTTTTATAAGAGGACACAAGTATTTTGAAACTGAAAATAAATGTCTCTATTTTTTCTTTTTAAAATTTAAAACAATATAAAAAGTTTCTGCATTGCAAATCAAAGTATTAGAATTTAAAGTTGCATTTATATTCAGTGCACCTGGATTCCATATAGCTCCACATGAATTCTTCCACATTAAAAACTCCAAATGGATGCAGCCCTGTGCTTTGCTTGTAAATATGTCCATCTGCCAAAGAAGCATACATTTTAAAAGCAGGGCTAATATGGAGGCTGAGGGGGAGTATCCTGAGCATCTAGAATGTCTTGACTGATGCCCGTGATGGTTATAGTCGCCGAGGTAAGAATTTCATAAAAATTTGAGCTCTCAGAATGATTTCAAATTAAATCCATGTTGAACTCATCTTTGAGGCAAAATTTCTAATTTTATTATAAATCTAGCTATAATCAAAAGTCGACTTCAGATGGAGACAGCACACAAACTAGAGGGTTGACTGGAAAGAGGAAAAATGTGTGAGTTTGTAGTGAAGAAAGGAAGGGCAAGTCTAACAACCAATCTTTTATCAAAGTCTTAAGTTGTTGAACAAACTGACTTCTGAATAAATACTACAAGAACTGTATTTGTGAAATGTGACATTCAGTTGCAAAATAGATCTCAGGACTGCACAGTATTGTTTCAATGCAGAATTTGTACCAAATAATAAAATGAAAGTTCTTGGAAATCAAATAATAATTGACTATTTGAAAAATGAAAGCAAAGTTTTAGTTATCATTAAAAATTATAAATACTGACGTGTCCAAGGCAGTGTTATTTAAACTCTTCATACACAGTGTTTTAAGGGATGTTTGAAAACTAAGAAGGACCAATAACACATTTGCTTTGAATATTCATTAAAATAGCAATAATTTCATTTCACCCTTATAAATATGTAATAAATATTTATTAAATACATGAATAAAATGTTTTTTAATATTATCCACCCTGAATTTTCAGCAGTAGGGTAGATTTAAAAAACCCAAATAAATAAATGTGTACATGCTTGACAGAAGTAAACAGAAGTGTAACATTATGTCATTTTATAACTAAAAATGACTAGCAAATAGCTATGCAATTATTAGAATTTCCTGGAGCAATAACTCAAATTCTAGCATGGAATCTTAATTTATGTGTTTTAAATGGAATAGTTACATATCTCTGATCATAAAATGTTTTCATGGTATAATAAATATTGACTTAACTGAGAAATGATTACATATAACTAAGGCACAGTCCAGACAAAGTTAAGGTTTGTGATCCCATTGATTTCAGTGGGAAGGTTCAGCACATGCATAACCCTGTTTTTCCTCCTATTTTTTTACCATTCTGTGTTCCTCAAGAATTTGTTCCCACCTCACCTAATCTTGCATTCATTCTCCAAACTCGGAAAACACTATCTTCCAACCAGTAGTAATATTTTTCCTAGCTCTTACTAGTCTTTCAAACATTTTAAGATCCTACTGTACATATATTTAGACAGAACTAGACATTTCTGCACATATTTTTATTTTCCATTACTTCCATTTCTTTCTTTACCAAGTACACATTCTTTTATTCCTTTGGTTCTCTTAAGCATTCCACTGTTAAATATTCTGAGTTTTGCTAATCTGCTTCTCGAGCATCCCTGGCAAATATTTGTTCACACATGCTGATTCATTCTTGATAAACTTAGGTGATTACTTACAGGTATAAATGAGCTATCACTTGTAAATGATTACAAACAGAATTCACATAGTGTATTTCTTTATGTCAATTTAAATAAGACAGTTCATATGTGAAACTGATGGAAAATATACTTAAGTACGTATTAAGTAAATGAACATATAAACTTATTGTTGAATCTCTAGGCATTGATTCATTGCTACTTGAACTCTCATATGCTATTTTTTTACTTGTTTTTGCATTTCCAAATTGCCTTAAATCTGATCTGACTTCTGGCCACTGTGGGTCCCTGGAAACCTGCACTCTTCTGGTTTTTCAATTCACCATTTATTTCATTTGAGAATGTTTTGTCTTCTAATTGGGCACCTGATCACTTCAGCAATGTAGATACGAAGTCTAATTCATTTCAGGTACAGAGCTATCTTGGATATTTGTTTCCGATAATTGTGATCCATAAAAACAGCACTGCTTGAAAACAGGGTATTTTTAAGGACCAAATTCTAAGGGCCACATATTGTTATAAGTGCCTGGCTGAAAAGTGTGATCATTGTTTGGGAACTTGTCCCCAAACAATTCAGAAATAATCACTAGAGATAGACCTTTTCTGTGGGTGGTGCCATAATTTTTAACTCTTCCTCAGAAATAGATTATTTTTCCACTTTAACATGCAACAATTATTTTATTGCTACCAGTTTCAGTTTCTAAAACAGTTTATCCCAGTTAAAATACTTGCAGCTACTTTTTTTATACTGTCTACTACCATATTTCAGTGCTGTATTTCTAGTTCTTGCCGATTATATAATTAAATTGTATGCCTTTTTGGATAACTTTACAGAAGAGTGGGGTAGCTGTCTGTTATTCTTTCTGTAACAGAAACAGCTAAGTTCTGAAGATCCATGATGAAACAACCTTGCAACAATAGAACTGGCTGGTGTTAGATGGGATAATAATAACAGAATAATAACAGAATAACAGAATTGGAAGGGACCTTATAGATCATCAAGCAGGAGACAATATACCATTTCTGAGAGAACTCCCCAAAGATTAACCCATGGCACTTGAAATTCCATGAAAGCAAAACAATATACATTATATAGAGAAAGTATTTTTGAAGGCATTCAATCTTTTGCTCATAAAGAAGTGTGGTAGTCAATTTGACAAAAATGATACTGTGGTTTTGTTGGTCATTGTCTCAGTTTGTGGTGGCTTCAATTTGACAAGGTTGAAGTAAAGAAAAGTGAACAAATATTTATTCCTTTCCTTATTTATTTTTAATGCTTATTGAAAGCAGCAAGCAGTAGGGAACCATGTAGAACTAAGCATTTTTTCTGAAATCTCTCCTTTTTAAAAAAGCTTTCCATTTCTAGATCTTGGAGATTTATTAAATGATTGATTGCCTTCAAGTCAGTTTTGATTTCTGAAGACTGCCTGATAGGGCCTCAAGAACTCAGTTTCTGAAGTCACAGGGAAATCTAAAATCCTATGGCTCTCGAAATGCTTACTTGCAGTTTTTAGGATTGTATTCTTAATGTTACAAATTTGGCAAACTTATTTCTTACAAATTTTGGAATTGTTTTACACTGAGCATTCTAATTTTTAGGTAAATTAATATAAATTAATTACGCAACATATTTACTTTACATGGAATGTACTCTAATGTTCACAGATGATACCTTAATTCCATAATTTTGAGTTAGGCATGAACAAGTAACAGAAATGAGTGTAGGGATGCTATTACTGGAATCTGTGATTTTCCAAGCTACTGATGTTTGAGACAAACTGGTAATTATTACTCATGATTTTGCAAAAGCAGAATCAGTACCAGAATGCATAATTTCTCATCAGTTATTGAAACAAGCATCCAACATATTCTTGAACTGCCTTTTTATGTTCTTAAGACTGACTTTAATACTTTTGCCATTTCTATAAGTTTCCATTCATAATTTTTATTATTCATTCCAAAATCTTTCCTATTTAACTTGTATTCTTTTATACATGGAATTCATTTCCATAATGAATGCTATGCTCTGTTAATTTCAGTTAAAAATAAAAATGTTTTTCTTAAATGTGTCCTCCAGCATGCTTTTCTTACAATTGCTGTATATAAATTACAAATTCTGTATCTGGTTTCCTTCTGGCTTCTTCATTCCTTTCCCATATTTTTTAGATAGTGTCTTTAAACAATGGGTGTCTTATATATAATTAGAATTTAATAAATGTTCTTAGTTACAGAATTATCTAAAAGGAGACATTTCCATATGGGAGAACAGAGCAGTTTCTTGATAATTTATATGAAGACTGACATACACCATCAGATGGACAATGAGGCGATGCACACACAGTCACAAGAAAGCACCAGCCTCTTAAAACTGTAGTCTGTATAAAATGTATGTTCAGATTTATACTTTAGAAAGTCTACCACTTCAGTTTTATCTGCTGTAATTTAAAATTATGTATGTCAGTCATTTCAACAGGGTATGCAATTGCTTTTATCCTAAAACAAAGTGGAAAAAAATTGTAATTTTAATATGCGTATGCATTTCAAAGAAACAACATAGGCATAACAGATTGACATTGTGCTTTATTTATACTGTGCGCATAAATAAATACACAAATGAGTGTCCCTATATGTAAGTGTAAACACAGTAAAGATAAGTAGTGTATAAAAGTAAAAAAAAAAACCAAACCTGTAGTTATTTTAGATCCTTATGGATCATATGCTAAAGGAAATAGCCTAAGTACAACTAAGTACAAATACAATGGTTTCTTGGACTTAGTCTTGTCTGCTTAATATCCTTAACTATACAATTAGATCTGTCAGGGATTTTCTGAAAAAACTAGCAGGGTCAAGAAATTTCACAAACTCTAAAGCTAAGGGAAGATAATTGAATTATCAATTTAGAGTTTTTATTTAAATAAATATTTTACATTTCATGCTTATCTATAAATGCACTACCAGGATCAAGATAAGGAAATTCTACTGTAGACAGTACAAACAGTAGAAGCAAAATTGTACATGAGGTGTAATATAGAGACCCTGCATTTATTAAGGAAAGCTTACATTTTTCACTCTAGCAGAAGAAAATGACCTGTGCAAGAACTGCCAGCTTCAAGAAGTGACACTTTCCCTCATTAAAAAAAATAAAAATAAACAAGTATAAAATACTCTGCAATGAGCAAAATGTATTGGAAGAATTATGATGGGAAGCCAAGCTGTGTGCAAAAATTACCTAGATATAAACCCAAATCTATGATGTCCTCAAGACAGCTGCAGTGTAAGAGGACATCATGTCCTGGAAGCAAGTATAAGCTGGACCCAATAAGACTGAAAATACAATTTCTTGAAAGCTCTTGTGTCAGGGTAGCAAAATTCAGAAAAAGCTGCAAGACAGTAGAAAAGCTACAAATGCATTGTGGGCATAGTGTTAGTTCTATTTTTTTTTTAAAAAAATAAATAAATACTGATGTATTATGTGGGAAGACTAGCTGCCACATTCTGAAGGATCATTTCATATAGGAACATGAATTCAAATCCCAATTGCCTTTAAACCAAACCAAATTATATAGACCTGTGACAAATTTAGCCAATCTGGTAAGCTTCGAGTATTTTGGCCTTCCAATTTCCATCATCCTGTCCTTAGCACAAGAAAGCAAAGGTATGAAGTTTCTAGTGCTGACTTGGTCTGAGGACAACACACTAAATGCAGGCAACTGATATAAAATAGGTGCCAGCTTTGGAGGATTTCTCTCCCCCCCCCTACTTATCAGAATGAGTTATAGTGGGCTGCATCCAACATCAGATGAGCAGGCATGCATTTGCTACATTCCAGCTTTGAGAAAGCTTTAGGGAAGGAAGATAGGAATGTTAGTTCACTAGCAGATGTCAGCCCCAATATTAATAATATATAAATTCAGAGGCAATTTAAATATTGACTTTTAAATATTTTCTCTATACAAAATGGCAAAAGTTCTGTTCTTTATAATATGGATTCATTTGCAATTCTGTGGCAAATCTGTGATTTAAAGACAGATGCTATTCGATTTGGAGAAAATGATGATAAGGCTTTCTATAATACTGTCTTTTATGTGCAAAAAGAGGATGCCTTTTCTTTCTGCCCACCTAATTGTCAGTCCTTTCTGACAATGGCCATCATTACTAGTCACACTCTCTCAGCTAATCTATCTCATAGGATTATACGAAGAGAGACTCCTTATATATATGTTACTTTGAACTCCTGAAGGAAAGAAAAGATATAAATCAAAATGTATTTATGCTATTTATATGGTCACCTATTAATCTCTTTCCCTCAATGACACAATATAGAGGAATTAAAGAGTTAAAACAGCAGAGGGTAATCTGGTTCATTTCATATAACTTCGTTTAATATTGTTTCCTGCTTCAAGGCTAGAGGTTAGCATACTGCTCCCAGCAAAATGCTGTAAAAGTACAAATTCTCTTTGAGATCCTGATCTGTTAAGACTACTGGGGAAGTAACAGACTCATGATGTCCTTTGTATGAAATATATAATACAGAAACTACATGGTACTGAACTTGTTTGGTGCAAGCCCACTGATTCCAGGAAAAGATATCTGATATCACAATGAAAAAGTGTAGAGTTATGTCTGCAAAAATAATGCAATACCAAGCACTGCTTGTATTGTTCATTGCTCTTTGAAGCTGCAGGTAAAATAAATTAATTTCATCAATTACTTTATAATCACTTCCAATATAAAAGAGATATATCACTATATTTTGGATTTTGTTCATAAGACACATGGTTTTAGTGTTGCTATCTAGTGCCAAAAGCTGTTTTTTTGATCAGCTGATCACATATTCCTCAAATTATAAGTTCCTTTTCAGCAAAATAGCAAATAGCAAAATTGAAAGTTGGTCTAACTTTTCTCAGAAAAGTTTTATTGTGTATTTAATAGCACTGCCATTGTCTGAAGACCCAAGGAAAGATTAAAGATATTATTGATCTCATAAATGTTCAGAAGATCATCTAGAACTTGAAGACTAACCCTATGATACTTCTATTACTTCAGTGGTGTATTTTTCAAAAAAAAGCAAACAGCAAAAGTGTGTTATCAAAGTATTCATTTATAGTAATGATCTAAAAAGTAATCTATGATGTAAGCAATGAATACTTCAGAATGGTAGAGCCCATTCACTATTGAATACAAATGATTGTGAAGTAATGGCCTGATCCCATCAGTGTCGCACAAAATGCAATGTGTTCCCTGATCAATACTACAGTCATGCTGAAATATTCTCTTCTGAAGCCCAGTGTGTGCACCCTGCAGTAGAAATGGGATCATTCAAACGTTTCAAGTAACATGACTTTACAGTGAGATGATAGAATATATTTTTGATTCCTTTGGACAAAAGCTAATTTCTTCTGAACTAGCAAACTAGATTGAATGGCAGGAGGGATTCAAAAGAGAGTTAATATTTATAAATACCACTCTCATCTATCCATATTATATATTGAGAAAGGGTGAGACATGGAAGCCTTATTAAAAACTTAAAACTCTGTTAAAAAGTGGGTGTAGTGAGAGGGCGGGAAAACTGAATCAAGCCTCACTCACCTAATATTGGTGGAACGAGTGTCCTAAATGAGGCAGCTTGGCCTATAAAATAAGAAAAAGAGTACACATTGGCCTCATTTTATACACAGCTACTCATCAATTATTTTATGTTGAGTAGACAGCATAACTCGACTGGGGAGTATTTGCTTTTATATTTTCTTGCATATTAGCATAACTGGTCTATGTCGTTTTTGATAACATATTAGTAAGCAAATATTACTAATCTAGGATTTGGGACTAATTATACAAGGTAAAATATCTCTTATACAAAACCAAAGAAAAAGATCACATAAATTCTATTTTATGTATTTCAACATTTCATATTTTTTTTCTTAATCTCTATCATTTTACAACATTAAGTTTCCTGGCCGACACATCAAAACTCTGAAAGCAATGTGTAGAAACAATTATAATCAGATAGGATTATGACTAAAAAAAAATCAAGTCATCACAAAAGTAGTATTAATGATTTAGAATGTAAAATATAATATTTGTATAATGTAAAAATGAGATTGCGTGGAATGTTATTCCTCCATATTGACTGATTAATAGAATGTTTAAAAAAATATTTTACCATTGACCACCACAAATAGTGCAGGACTAATGGACTTTGGATACAATGAACAAAATTTCCACGTGGGCAATATCCCAAAATAAACAGTTTCTCCCTTGTTCGGGGAATGGTCTGGACAGCAGTTGCTGTTAAACCCTCAAAAATGGATATGCTTCCTGTTTAATTTTTGAGAGACAGAAAATGCAAGTATGATCAGGCGGGTGATGGGTCTATATTCTACATATTCAATGGTGAAGTTCCTACTAGGAGGGAGGGACTGAGAAAACCTGGCAGGCAATGGGAGGAGGAGGAGTGGGGCTGAGCTGAGGAAAAAAGGCTGGGGAGGTGTTGTGAGAAGGAACTCCTTCCCCTTCCCTCACTTGCAGCTCTGCCCACTGCTTCCTTGGTGACAGGAGCTAGAGAGAAAAAGTGTTACCAAACCTCCCAAAGACTGGTGCTACCTCCCTTGAAGGGCTGTATTTGAAAGTTGTTTTTCCTGTAGTTCATCACTAGGAAGGGGGGGAAAGCAAGGATGGTGGGAGGCGGAGGGCAACCTGAGTGTTTAACAGACATTCAAATTTAATGAATACTCCTTTCCCCTAAACAGTCTGTTAAACTGAGGATCTATATATTTTAGTACTGAACTATATCTGCTTAATGATTATGTATAACATAATTAGGAACAAACTAAAATGGACCAGGCACACACCAGTCTAAATCAATAAATGTCTTGAACTGTGGAAGGGCATGCCTGTTCCAATCCAGCAAGACTGATCCATGTGCAGACTTATATAGAAGGGCTGCACAGGAGAAGAAATATATATTATATATGTCAGGCTTTTTTATTAGCTTAGGCTGGCATATTTCAGGTAGGAAATCAATGGTGACACTAGGAGTATGAGACTCCTGACTTCTCTTATTTATCCATGCCAAAAGGAGAGAAGAGGTGCTAATTAACCACCTTCTCCATCTGAACATCAAAGAAATTTTTTGCATATTAGAACTGCTGAACTGAGAATATTTCTACTATTATTAAAGAAACAGGGTACTCGTATTTAATAGTAGTACTATGACACTGATCAAAAACTAAATTTCTCTTAGCCATTCTTTCTGACAGTTCCTTACTGCTTCACGATTTTTAATAATGCAGATGTTGCCTTATTCTATAATCCTTCCACACAAGAGGTACACAGTATTTCTGACCTATATAGTGTAGAAGTACAATGATATCTACCTTATTTCTTTAAAGCATAGATCCTAGCTGCCTCAATAAAATGCCCACATGCCTCTTGATAACCCTAGCATGTTCCACTGCCTGCAGTGATACTTCAAAGTATGTACATTTTCTGCATCAAGAGATGGATACAATTGCATGTAAATATTTTTTAAAGTCATGAAGACAGCTTTCATAAGACTTAGGAAAGTCATATAAGAGCTTAAAAGATTATAGGAGTTACAAAGAATGAAGTCAAGAATTGTCAGTTATAATCCCACAAATCATCCTTCAGGGCTAATCTGGCATGCGCTATTACACTTACCAGCTCCTTTAGAAAATCTCAACTCCTGTCACCAAAGGCCATGTAATAAATTGCCTTTTGTCACATGTTTATTTTTTAAAATCTTTTAAATGGAAAAATAAATATTCAAACATCCTATTTAATAAATATTTTGAGAATTAGGTTTACTAAAAATGTTGCATCTGTCATGGCTAAAACTAATACGGTATTTTAAAACAGATACTCCTATCAATCTAACTAAATGTTCAAAACTTTACAATGCATTTCTTGTAATCATTGTGGCCTTGGTAACTTAAAAATTTTCAAGGGTTATCCAACTTTTATACAACATTCAACTTCAGTAAAGACTGTGCAAACGATTGGGATACATGGGTTGGGATTTTTTTCCTTGACCATAATGAAATAGTTTAACTATAAAAACCAAATTCTAAGTTCAAGGTACACTTTCAGAATTTTGTTAATATTTTCACATAGAAAAAAGTGCATTCTTTTGTTCAGCTTGTACAGTTCTTCCGTACATTATAAAATAAATTGCAAGCCTCTTCTAGGATGTAGCAGCATTGCAAACATGACACATACAATCATTGTCACTAAAAATAAATACTACTGAAGTGTAACAAAATATTCAATTAAAACATCTGAAAAAAAAACTAGTTCATAAACTCAAAAAACAAAAGGTAAACAAACGTTTACCTTGATATACAAATTTTGGTGAAAAGCAATGTTGTTAAGCTTGTCTAAATTCTTCAGCCTCCAGGGATGATGAATATCAACAAAGAAAAAGGAAAGCACAAGACACAAATCATAAGAGGTTGAAACAACTTCACTTGCTGCTTTTATGTTATAATTTCTTCCATTTAAATGTCCCATTCTCCATAATTGCACATGAATCTGGAAGTCTACATGGGGAAAGTAGGTGATCCCAGACTTTTTGCTTCTTGGATAGTATCCAACAGTTAAAAAATAATTTATATAAGTTTCTAGTTCTGTCAAGCTCCAATCAGCTTGAAAAAACATCCTAATTAATCACGTTTTAGAATTTTTATCTGCCTTTTAGAAGGGAGCAAGTACTGTATCACAGACCAGCATGCCCTTTAACCTCTGCTCTGAGAAGGTAAGAGAATGAAAGCTCATTGTGCACAAATCATGCAACTGAGAATTTGCCATCTAATATAATATTTGGGGAATACTTTTTGCTATGACTTTCATGTTGAGACAGCAGTAACCGCAGGTCAACTTAGACCAATGTAACACCTCATGCAGATAAATCAAATAGGCTAATTAATCAAAAAAGGAACTCGATCAATTAGGAATGATTTCTGAAAGTGCTCCGCTCTCCTAAATAATAACAAGGACTGGTGGTGATGTTCAGGAATCATTTTCAGTGATAAATTGAGTATGTCTCTATAGCAAGAATACAAAACAGGAAGTTATTCCCGTCCACTTGCAGAATAAGAAAACTGAGGGAAATGTGGTCGTCTCTCATTGTCCATGCAGTCCATGCCATCTTCATCATCTGTGGAATTGAAGATTAAAGGTAGCCTCATAAAAAACGACTAATATGTTCCTCTATATTGACATATATTTGCACATATTTTATTATTAGAATGATACTGTCTTAAATGCATTTTTAGACTAGTTCAATGAAGGTATGTGAAAAAAAATTCACATTTTGCCTTTCAAATTTTATTGTTGGTAGATTTTAATATACATTTTATACTTCAAGTTGCCAATTATTAAACAAGAAATTTTTAAGCATGAAATTATTTTTGTGTTTGTTTACTATGATCTTTTGTAGAGATATGTAAAACTGAAGACTATTTTTGCAAATGTTTATTAAAACGAGAAGCAGAATGGACTAAACAAAATAGGATTAATTATTAGGCCTGGTGCAAAATATAAATGTAACAAGTCTTCAGAATTCTTTTGTAGTAGGTTTACAAAAGAAGGATGCTCGATATTCAGTAGGGTGAAGAAATAGATTAAACAGTCTCCCAGTGCAGTAGGTTAATCTCGAACTCTTAAACTCATCCAACCCATCTTGTATTAATCACAGGGGCTTTATCTTTCGAAATTAGAGTACATCAGAGTACATAAATATGTTTTAAAAAATCATCACTGAAAATTTCCTACTATAACATCTCTTAGATAGCTTCAGATACAGTATACTCAATATATATAGAAATAAAAGCTAGCCAATAACTCCTTATTCTTCCCCTCCTGTCTCTGCAGTCTTTTATATCTCATAACAGCTCTGTCCTGTCGATTTGGATGAATGTGAGTAACACAGACCTCCACTATTGAAGACATCTACCAAAAAGAATTTGGGAAGAATAGGGTGCCAAAAAGGGGAGGAGAAAAAGGGGGAAATTGAATGAACTATCAACCTTCTTCTCTTCTTGCTGGCAGACCTTTCTGCCTTCCAGGGATAGATATGGGAAGGCCTGGGGGAAAAACAGAAAAATTGGGAAGGGGGGGGGGGGAACAGGGTTTTTTTTATTTTATTTTTTCTCAAAAGTGTTTGGAAAAAAATGGGGGGAGCTGTTTCTCCCCTCCCCCCCCAATTTTTCCAGTTTTTTTCCAGGCCTTCCCATCTCTACCCAGGACCCTCCGCAATGACTGGTGTATTCGCTGGGTGCTAACATTCCCAAATTAGTATTATAGCTATTATTTGCTATAATAGCTTCATAATCTAAGATTATGTCTTAGATTCTTCATAATCAAATAAATGAAATGTGAATTCCCCCACTCCTACCTTCCTTAATAATGAGATACTTACATTTTTCAGGTGGTGTTATTGTAATAGTTTGAGCAGTAAACTCTTCATCAAAGTATCTGGTGTCCGTCTCAGATGTCACTTGAGGTTTAAAAGGAGGAACAAGCTGAAGATGTAGTGAAGAAAAATGCTTATTAATAAATATGAACATTTTCAATTTAAAAGTAGGATTGTAAAAAGAAGGAAGAGATTAATTAATTTTATCCTACTAGTTAAGAACAGGTAACAGGGTAACTGAAACCCGAATGCCAACTAAGAAATTAGTTTGGTCAAGTCTTAGCCTAATAAATTTCTATTTTAGCAATTACAGAGAGGGAAAAAAGCAGTCTTACAAAATAAAAAATTCATAAATCACAAACAAGTCTTTATTTATTTGATAAGTATTTTATTCGCATTTTAAAGTAACCCATTATATTAAAAAGCTAAAATGAAAATACAATCCATTAACATAAACATCACAACTTTAATCATCCATTTATTGAAATAAATGGCCTTGAACACACAGTACATTATATTCCAGTTTTCACACATCATCCTTTCTCCTGCATATATGTCTTGGTTTCTTAAACCTGTCTTCCACAATGACTAAAAAAAAGTTTCATGTGGTTTACAGAATCTTCTAGATGGCAATAAGGTGATTGATAGCAGGGAGAAAGCAGAACTGCTTAATTCATTCTTTGCATCTGTCTTCATACAAAAGGAAAAAATAGTTCAGCCTATCAAAAGCAGCACCATAGGAGACAGAATAGGAATGCAAATTAAAGTAGGTAAGAAAATGATAACAGAATACCTATCCACAATAGTCCACAGCCTACGTCTTTCTAAGATAGAACGATGTAGATAGAAAGTACTACCACCAAATGGATTTGCAACTGGCTGACCAACTGCATTCAATGGGTATTCCTCAATGGAAATATATCTACATGGAGAGAAGTCAGAGTAGGTACCTCAAGGTTCTGTCTTAGGTTCAGTGCTCTTTAGTATCTTCATAAATGACAAGGAATAGACAGGGAACTCAGCAAATTTGCAGAAGACACCAAACTGGGGAAAACAGCTAATTCTTTAGATGGAAGACTCAAGATTTAGAAGGACCTGAACAGACTGGGCCATATCCAACAATATGGAATTCAATAGTGAGAAAATCAGGGTCCTACACATAGGCAAGAAAAAAGAAATGCACAGATATAGAGTAGATGGTACCTGCTTAACAGTAGCAACTATGAGAGGGATCTAGGTGTCCTAGTAGACCACCACTTAAGTATGAGCCTGCAGTGTGCTGCTGCTGCTGCCCAAAAAAGCCAAAAAGGGATGGTTTAAAGATCACGTGAAGTGATAGTACCGTTTTATACTGCACTGGTGAGACCACACTTGGAATACTGTATCCCATTCAGATCACTACAATACAAAATAGAGAGACTATAGAAACAGGGCAAAGAAGAGCAACAAAGCTGATAAAAGGTCTGGAGGCAAAGCCATATGATAAATGACGATTGAGAAAATTAGGTGTGCCAATTCTTACAAAGAGAAGAACTAGGGATGATATGATAGCAGTCTACTACTACTTGAAGGCTGTGACAGAGAAGAAGGAGTTGGTTTATTCTCCAAGGTAACTGAGGGCTGGACAAGAAGTAACAGGTGGAAGATCATTAAAGAGAGATCCAACCTACATAGAACTAAATTGAAAATTTCCTGACAGTGAGAACGATTAGTCAGTGGAACAGCTTACTTCCAGAAGATGTAAATGCTCCATCATTGAAAGTTTTCAAGAGGAGATTGGATAGCCATTTGTACAGAGTGATACAGCTGAACAAGATGTTTTACTAGAAGACCTCCAAGATCCCTTCCAACTCTTATTATTCTATGTTTTAGATCAGTGGTTCTCAACCTGTGGGTCGGGACCCCATTTGGGGTCGAACGACCATTTCACGGGGGTCGCCAAACAACGCAGTCCGCCATTTTTTCCCCCTTTTCCTTAGCTGTGCTACTCCCTTTTATTCTATTGGCTTTTGAAAGACAATAGAATAGACTCTCTTGAATAGAGTCTAATTCTATTGGCTTTCAAAAGCCAATAGGAATTGTCCAGGCTGCCTCTGCCCTGCTGAGCCCGCCAAAAGTCCCATTCTGCAAACAGTGCTGCACCAGTTGAGTAGTCCTCGACTTACGACCAGTTGAGTAGTCCTTGACTTACGACTGGTTGGGGGTCGCGGCATTAAAAAGGTTGAGAACCACTGTTTTAGATAATCATTTCAAACCTGAAAATCTTAACTTTTTTTCTATATCTATATCTATTCATCTATCCTTCCTTCTAGAAAATCTAGAAAGTCTAGAAAGTCAAGAAAGAAACTTAGCAGCTTTGCAAGACTACCACCTAATAGCAAAGAAGCTGAATCAGCATTAATCTGCCCTTTCGTATCAGACTTTTTAGATCAAAGGTCCTTATAAACTAATTACTTTAGGTTTTTTTCTGTTTTGGAACCGTGTATCTGTAATTAAATCTTAATCAGACTTATATACTATATACAGGATTTATGATATACATTTTTTTAGAAAACATTCATTAACTTAAAAGCAAACTATTAAAACACTTTCTACATCAGCAAAATCAGACCAAAGAGGATTTGCTCAGATGGTAGTTACTCTAATCTCAAAGTTCTGACATAGAAAAAGCAGAACTTTCAAATTAATTGGTGTTAGATAAAACAATAAATCTTAGTAATAGGTACAGAGTATTCAGGCAATTTTCTTCAGAGTAAGCAATGTTATAAAGCAGCAAAAAGAAATAAACAAAAAGAAAATAAAGGCAGTTCATAAGAACACCATTCACTATATTCTTTTTTGCCTTTACTCTTGCAAACCAGTCCTGCTTTCACAGTGTCCTAAAGCTTTTTGTTCATTATATTTCTTATCAGTGTTGATGTAAAATAAATGAACTTATTTGATTATATTTTACATATCACTCATAAATTTCATTCAACAAGGACTCTCATAACCATTTTCACTTCTTTGCACATTCATCCTCCATATCCCCTACTCCACATACATTACAAAATCTCCCCATTCCCAATTGTGCCAAGGCCAGATGTGTGCTAGGTATGGGAGAGTTAAGTTTTATAGAAATAAATATACTGAATAAGAGCTATAGCAGGGGTCTCGAAACCTGGTCTACAGCCTGGTGCCAGGCTGTGGCCCATTTGGAACTCAGCTGCGCAAGTGGCAGGAGAACGCACAAAGCTGCATTTGAGCAAGCAACATGCTTGTAAAACCATCCCCTCCCCCCCCGCCCGCCAACTCCACCACCGCCACCAGTCTGGAGAGCTGAAAAAGTTGGGGATCGCTGAACTAGACAGATTTTTAAAAGTCCTAGGTAAAAAGTGGAGGTTTTTAGAACCTCTTTGGATGAGATCGTGGCAGTGAGGTTTTGTGGTATCAGAGTAGTAGGTGGTGGCTCACGTCACAGAGGGCCTCTGAGGCAACTATGCAAGGCCTTTCCACAGCTCTCCTTTTTGACAAGAATTGTGCAACCAAGCAGCAATTGGACAGTGGAAACGCAATAATGAAGTACCACTGATCAGCTGTTTAGTGGATTGGAGAATTGAGCAGGAGTTGCTGCCATTTCACTGAGAAAATTTAATCGATTCTGCAATGGTGGCAACACTGGCTTTATTCCTCCCTTGGGTAATAATAGCAGCATATCTGGCTGGCGTGTTTTCCTCTCCCCGAGTATTGTGCTGACAGCACCCCTATGCTGCCTGCCCTTTACATTCCAGAAGATGTCTGGAATATGCATTGCAATGAGAACAGGAGCAGCAGGTGGCTCAGTTGGACTGCCAATCTGCATCCTGCAGCTGTCATATCACCTACCATAGTACAAGTAGCCATATTGCCTCAAACATGCTATTATTTGATCTGGGGGGACTAGACTGTTTTCTTTTTTCCCCAACTTCCCCAACTGCTCCAGACTTCAGGACCTCTGGGATCTGGTGGTCCTGAAGACATGTTGCATGTAGCACCATTATTTTGTGAGCTATACTAGTTCCTTTTAGGCTTCTGGATGCAATTCAAAGTGCTGATTATCACCTATAAAGTCCTTCACGGCACAAGGCCAGGTTATTTGTGTGACCATCTGTCAGAATTATCTGCTCATCCTATGGAATCTGGCAGAATGGGCATGCTGTGGGACTTTTATAAGAAACAGTGTCACCTGGCAGGACCAGGAGGCATGCTTTCACTGTCACCACACTTGCCTTATGGAACGCTTTCCCCAAGATTTAGATGACCCTGATCCTGCTGTCCTGTTTCATGGGTCTGAAAACCTGGTTCTTCTCCCAGGATTTTAAAGTATAGAATAAGCCATCCAGACAATGAAACAACATGAATGAAATATGTGATAGTTGACTTGGTTATTCTGTACTGAATGCTGTATTTTATTATAACATTTGTTTTTTATGCTTTGATCTAACTATATGTTGCCCAAGATCTTTTTTTCCGAGTGGAGCAGCCATATAAATGAAAGATATAAATATACATGTTTTTTGAGCAATTATTCTAGAGCAGGGGTGTGAAACTGCTGGCCCGTGGGCCGGATGCGTCATGCGGAAGCCGCATCCACCCCATTGCCAGCACTGGCAAAACTGTCCCGATACATTGCACGTCACGTGACGTCGCGAGTTTGACATCTCTGTTCTAGAGCATGCATTTTTTTTCTTACCCAGAGCCTTTTTGCTTTCATCATTTCACCAAGCTTTCTTTTTCATTATTTCTATCAGTGTAAATTCAAACATTTCTATAGTACTCTAGAGCAGTGGTTCTCAACCTGTGGGTCCGGACCCCATTTGGGGTCGAACGACCATTTCACAGGGGTCGCCAAACAACGCAGTCCACCATTTTTTCCCCTTTTCCTTAGCTGTGCTACTCCCTTTTATTCTATTGGTTTTTGAAAGCCAACAGAATAGACTCTTGAATAGTGTCTAATTCTATTGGCTTTCAAAAGCCAATACGAATTGTCCAGGCTGTCTCTGCCCTGCTGAGCCCGCCAAAAGTCCCATTCTGCAAGCGGTGCTGCACCAGTTGAGTAGTCCTCGACTTATGACCAGTTGAGTAGTCCTC